CTTTATATGTGAGGAGCAGGATTTTGAAATCTATTCTGAATTTTACAGGGAGCCAATGTAGAGAAGCCAAGACAGGAGTAATATGATCTCTCCTTCTAGTTCCTGTCAGCACTCGTGCTGAGGCATTTTGGACCAACTGGAGATTTTTTACCGATTTCCTGGGGCATCCTGATAATAAGGAATTACAGTAATCTAATCTAGAGGTAACGAATGCGTGGACTGGTTTTTGGACTTAGACAGGATGTTTCTAATTTTGTTAATATTGCGCAGGTGGAAGAAAGCTGTCCTAGAGACTTGTTTTATATGTGGGTCAAATGACATGTCCTGGTCAAACATCACTCCAAGGTTCCTCACAGTGGAGCTGGAGGCCAAGCTGACACCATCCAATGTAACTATCTGTTCAGACAGTGATTCTCTAAGATGTTTAGAGCCGATTACAACAACGTTTATATTCAAATACTTTATATTTACATTGAGGGGACCCTCTCTATGGAGGCCGTCATGTTTTTTGATTAGTCCAGACTGAACAAACTAAACACCTTTTGAGTTTTTATGTTAACTGAAGCTACCACAGGTTCTTTTCATGTTTGGAAGGAGAGGGTGAGGTGAGGGGTGTTCACCTGCAACATGCAATTTCAACACTAGATATCTAAAAGTTCTACACACTGTACCTTTTAATCAGTACTCAAATTTGTAATTTGAGAAAGTTGTTCATAATTTTTTTTCACTGCAGTGCTCCACTGTCAAGTGTTGATCAGTGTTTGGTTTTTCCTTCACTGTCACACAGAGGCCGTCCGTGGTGCAGGTGAGGGCACTGTACGACTTCACCGCAGAGGAAGGCGATGAGCTCGGTTTCTCTGCGGGAGATATCATTGAAGTGCTAGATCGCTCGGATGCATCTTGGTGGAAAGGGAGGCTGCGGGGGAACACCGGGCTGTTTCCTGCCAACTACACAACGCAGCTGTGAGAAAACACCCCAGGCGACACTCTTACTCTGCCTACACATTCACAGACTTGCTCTGCAAGTGCAACGGCCCTGAATGTGCGTTGTTTTTTTACACTGACCCAGTCAGTGACTCATCTAATCACTGCACTGCATGTTGGCACTTCATCAACACGCCGGTTTCGGAATGACTGAGTCAGTTTGTGTTTTCAGATGATATTATATACATACAACTCGGTGCTATGCTTGATCAGGTTTTATTGGACTGACTTATTCACAAAGGAGCAAAGGCACATCCCAAAACAGGAGCTGCTGCAGGTGGCAGCTGTACTACAACATGTCTGTCAGCATATTTATTTGCTCGTTTGCCAGTCTGCCAGTGAATTGACGGTTTCTGCTCATGCTATTAGTTTTGTTATATTTTATACCATTAAAAATTTTGAATTAAAAAAAATGTGGATTTCTCAATGCAATGTCCTCAATGGTCACTGACGTGGTAATAAATAGATTTGTATCTCCGATTTGTCAACTTTGAATGACAAAGGCTCTCTGGGGATATATAAAGACTTCCTGCTTTTTATTCCCCATGAAGCACAGTAGATTCTTGTATTCTACATTTATATGGAAACATGACTTATTCTTTCATTAAATGATTTCTGCAAAAGCCAGAACTGCTATGAATAAAAGCAGAAATAAGAGGCAAGAGGTGGCCTTTGGAAAAATAGCTGCACCAGAGCCTGTACCCTAGATTGAGCTGCATCCTTGGTGCTGGATGCTTCAAAGCATGTGGTCTTATATTTCAGCCGGTGTAGAGTTAACAGTGGATTTGTCAGCAACTTGTAAAGTTAAACATTTAATGGATTACAATCACAACCCGAAAATCTTCTATATGCAAATGACAAAACTTCCACACTTTGTCTTGTTGTCTGCTGATAAATGTATTTATTTACAAATGAAATGCTTCATTTGGCACAGCTCATTTCATGGAAAACTTCCTCATAATTTAATCAAAAAGATTTAGTTTTTTTAGTCATAAAGTAAAAAAAGAGAAAGTGTTGTTTATAATGGTTAAGTAGCTTAAATGTTTTTTTTGTTTTTACAAAAAAGTAGAGAAATCCAAAGTTGGTAGATAAGGGGGGAAAAAATCATAAACTGCCATCAATATCCATAATTTCCCCAGAAATACTCATTTGAAACACAACATCACTAAATGTCACCTCTGAGACATTTTCAACCAAAAATTGACATCAAAAGCATCAAAAGCATCAAAAGCATGATGCAGAACAGTTGCAGTACTGGATTGCATTGGACAGAACGATGTACTTAGATAAGTAGTTTGGTGAATTATACAGTTAAAAGACCAAATAGACGTACACCTTTGTCAATTACTAATCCTTTTTCTAATGTTTTAGAAAGAATGTTTTTACAGAATGTCTATTTTTTGTCTCTGTGCTCAGCAGTAAGGGTTACGGCCCTTTATGTTATATATATTTTAACTAAGGGATATCTGCATTTTATTTTTTTACAAAAAACATGTTTAACATATGTCGCTGTCCTCACTTTCCCCAGACAGTGTCTTGATTTATCTGCTGCTTGTGTTATTTATTTGTGATTAAACAGGAATATAAACTAAGTATTTTCTAAATGCCGCGTCAGTCCCATGATGGTCATGAAGGAGCCTCCAGATTTTGCAGGTCAATCAAACGTATTCATCATTTTCAAGCCCAGCTAATCTCTGCAATGCAGACTCATCGTTTTTCGCTGTGAGTATTGAAAACTTGTTGACTCAATTGTTTGCCAAACAAACGATGTTGATTAATAGAGAATATAAACAGAATATCGGTTTACAGGAAAACAAAAACAAGCTAATAAATAACAGTGAGAGCAACACCATCAAAATAAACTAACACACAGCATCAACACTGTTCACCATATATAGCCTAAATACGTAGATACAACTATTAAATCACTCACATTGGGTTTCCAATCAGGAGAGTTATAGATAGAAGAGACCAGCTTTATTGTGAAAGCCGTGTAACCGGAAGCTGTTCAATAATGGAAGGTCTTTATTCAAACCGTGGCCCCGCCCCCTGCTCCTACCTGTGCGCTCAGGTAGCGTCAGCGGCCGCTGGACCAGAGGAACTGTTATCTGTCATGGCGGAGTCTCAGCTGCTGTGTATGGACGATGAACACGTCAACGAGAAGATCCTGGAGTCCAGACCCGAGTTTTACTACAGCGAGGAGCAGCGAGCGGCCCTGGAGCAGCTGCTCCGGAGCGGGGACGGCGCCTTCAAGATGCGCCTCAAAGACGACAACGTCAAGGACTTCCTCTCCGCCCGGGAGGTGAAGTCCCTCCGCAAAACCTTCCAGGAGTATGACTCCGACAGCGACTCCGAGTCCGCGGACCAGGACAAGTCCAAGGGCTCCTCCAGCGCCGACTCCGGGGTCCACTCCACCTACTGGCCCGAGATGTCCGACACTGAGGTCCCGCCCCTGGACATCGGCTGGCCCGGTAACGGCGGCCACTACAAGGGGGCGACCCGGGTGTCCGTGTACACCCACCCAGCCAAAGAGAGCGGACCCCACATCAAGGAGGTCGTGAGGAGACTGATACAGGAATCACACAAGGTGAGTTCACTTCCAGCCCGGGTCTGCAAATCCGGATCATTTTGTTGAGTGATCACTTTGTCTAGTGAAAGGTCAGAAACTCCCAAAGGAAAGCCTCAAATCCTCACACGGTGAGAGAAGCACCAAGAGCAAGGGTGAGTCATGTGTAATAGATTTAAAATAGTTGATGATTAATTGTGTTAATGGAGTCATTCTGACAGAAGAGATGGACAAACTGCAGAATCACTGCAAACCAAGTGAATCTACAGTTTACTGATGAAACCTTTAGGGACTGTGTCAAAATGACTTGTATTGGGAATGCTGCTAAAGCAAGGCCCTTGAAATGCTCAAGTATTAAAAAAATAATACTTACACCACAGGAAAAGAAAGCTGGAATCGACATCTAACAATGATGTGATCGTGGCGAAAGCATCTTTATTTTAGTGCGTATGCCACTTCTCACGCAAACGTTGGGATCTATAAAAAACAAAGTTGATGGGAGAATGTGTGCTCTTGTACGCACTTGCAAAATCTTGCAATAGCTGCAGTTACTGCAGTGGTAACTAGAAGGAGGATAACAGGACATTTACGCTAAAAACATGGTGTAAATGACGCTTGGATGACACCACAGGAGCAGATGCAGGCGTTTCTGTTTTTTTCAGTTTTTTGTCTTTTGAAAAACATTTACATAAATTGTGTTGGATCTGTTTACCCCTGAAACTCACCCCCTGGACTCAAACACTTCACCCACCCCTCCATCGGCATAGTTGTGCGTAGATAATGAGTGAATTTTTCGTTTTTGGGTGAGCTACCCCTTTAACTTAATTAACAGTATCAGCAACTCGTTGCCACTCTGCGGTCTTTCTTCACCTCCACCTCTCTAACAAGCTCCTCGATGTCGTTGTCAGAAAGTTGACACTGATTCTCATCACTTGATGATTCATCATGGAAACCCATTGGTCTGCAGGGTAATTTAATATTCATGAGGTGCTTTGTGTTGAACATTTATGGTTCAATGTAGCCGTGTAGAGGGATATGAGGCTGATTCATGTGTGTAAGTTTCAAGGTGGAGTTTGATTTAAAAAATGGAACCTTTTTTGCGTACGCCATTTTCGGTCTTTGTATAAATAAGTATGAATCCTACGCACTGTTTTTATAAACTAGGCTTCAGGTCCTTTAACTTAATGAAACAAAAAAAAGAGGGTAGCCCGTGATAGATCCAATATTGAAGAAGGTGGTGAGTTTCTTCATTACTTACCTTCATTACTATATTATAATATTTCTTCACGCACATCTGACAGTTTGAAGAACTGTTAGCACAAAGGTCGAAGTTTCTTCTTGAGTATTTACTTTGACAAAGCTCCCATGTGTTTGTAAACAGTCCCAGCAGAGCATGTTTGGTTCATTACCTTTCTGTTGTGTCGCCTGTTGCTTGATCCTCCTGAAGTACTGAGCAATTGCTAAAGAGAAATATATGAAATAATCGACAAACGCATTTTAAATCTGACTAGATAGAAGAAAAAGCTCTGCTACTAAATGTGATGTCAACAAAACACATTCTGATTGGATTAGATGTGTAGTTAGCACATTTTTATTATTTTGCAAAGGGCCTTAGGATTCAATTAGTGCCTTTATGTGTGAACTCATTAACTCTAAATGTAATTAAGTTTTACACTGCTTCAGCGTTGCATAATAACCAACCGTGTAATAAAACTTATCACTGGCTGTTTATTTACTTGGCCCACAGCCAAGTAACCGATCTGAAGTTTACACACACAGATATCATTTTAAACTCATTACATCTGGTATTATAATGTGTTTCCAGTGTCCACAATGAGATCTAATCGCTCTGTGCACGTCATATCCTCCTTTTGTCTCCACTTTCTCCCATTGTACAAAGATGAAGGCAAAATATCTCAGATTTGACTCATTTGGAGCCGGCCTCTGCAGTAATGATTGTGCTGTGCGATACACGATATCCAAGTCTGACTGATACACATGCTAAACCCATCACGAGTGACTAATTAAAATCAAACTTATCAGAAACACTTGAACAAACATCAGTGTGATTAAAAACTACTAAAAAGGACAGGAACCATTTTTGAGAAAAAACGATTTAACGTGTATTTCAATGACTTTTTTGGTTTATTGTGCAGCTATTCACCAGGCAGCAATCAAGACGGGTTGGCTTCACTTTAACCGGAGCCTTCATGTCCTCCATCTTTCTGTACAGTATTAGAGGGAGATATTAGCCATCCATGACAATGTGAGGGTCTGACATAACATGATATAACTATTTCCTTTCATTTATCGTGCTGGTTTTTAACAACCGCGTCCGATCGGTATTTTTGTTCTCGTAGTTATTTCATGTGGATTGACAATGTAATTGCATTTACACTTGCAGTCACTATGCATCCCTTATCACCTCCAGAAGTAATTGGTTGTTTCTTATTGTGTAGCATTCTCCAACAAGACATACCACTTCCTCCTGGGCAAACATTCAGCTGATTAACCTTAGTACATTTTTAATAACTGAACATTATCACCTTGAGTGAAGGAAGAGCTTGATGCAGGACCGTTGTATAATTACTCTCGATTATTTTTACAGTGTGTACTCCTGAGTGTAAATCTTGAAATGTACTTTTTTTCAATGCATCGTCAAGGATCAATGTACAAAAACAAATATTATTGCACCTGGTCCCAAGGTCAAACTGTGAAGGTTTATGTCTCTTTAATTTCTTATTATATCATGCAGAACAATACAGTAAAATCAGTTACAGGTAAATTATACAAACACAAGTCGTTATATAACTGTTGTATAACTAAAACACATAAAA